ACATACTAGTGTTAACCAATGATACTAGAGTAGTAATGTTTGATAATGAAGAGAAGAAGCTAGTGACAGGCAGGGCTTTGGATCATGTGTAAAGCAGGACGGCAACAAACTATATGCAGTTGTTTAATGTTTGTCTTAAGCAAACTTAAGACTGGATTTTTTTTTATTTTCCCCATTAAAGATGCTTTTTTGCTCAACTAGGTTTTTCCTCTCAGATGGAGACAAGAGGGGAAAATATTCAAGAAGTCAATGCAGTCTATCCAGCCAGCCAGATAAATCAGGAAGGACTTTTATTCAAATCAATATAACTGGTAATAGCTATGATAGTAACTTGCAATAGCTCCTCAGCTGTCAGAGGGTATGATTACTTTTGGGCTAAGCCTGCCACTCAATTACACAGGAAAAAAATCAAGATACTCCCCTATTTGTGGCCCCTCCCAGTCAGCGCAGGATAGAAAAGAGAATTATTTAACATGCATTTTCTACGCAACTCACAGTGCCACTCACAGACAGTGAAAGACTGGGAACTGGTTGACTTAAATTATTCAGTCTACCTCAAAATCAGAGTTGTAGGGAAGCAAGCACATAGTTTCTATGAATGTCAGCTAGATGACAGAAGTAATGAGACTTGACTCTTGTACTGTTCTTGGCTTTCTCCTCTGCTTCAGCATCTTTTGGCTACCTTGGTTGGCTTCTCATCAGTGGAGGAGACAAAAGCATATTTTCACAATTGCATGCAACAATGTTCATAAGAATTCATCCTGAATGTTATGATGTATACAATTTGTCACATGGTTACCTTTTGCTATTAATACTGTAACAACTTAAAAGCCTGTTGTGAGTCTCATTTTGACTGGTACTCATCAAAATGTACATGGCTCTGTAAAAACGGAACTGATTAAAGTATCAAAAAATTGTTGTTTGTAATATAAAATAAATGTGAATAGTCCATTCAATGACACATTATTGCCAAATCATCAAGCAGATTGAGTATTCAGAACTATTTTCATTAAATTTATTCTGATACCTGTTTGAAGGTATTTAAAGTGTACAAAGAAACATTACTGTACAGAGAAGTAGTACATGTACATAAAATACACTTAATCTAGGAAGTTTTGCAGAATTTAGCTTCTACTACATGTAAAATAACTTACAATGCAAGTAAAATCACACAAAATGCTTTAAAGCTGTATAAAATACACTAGCTTTGTAAAAAATATTGTAGAATTTGGATGTGCATTCAAAGTTTTCGCCAATAGATGGCAGAAATACACAATACTTAACCAACAAAATCATTGCAAATGATTGGCAAATTTAAGGTGCTATTAAACGGATAGTTTTGAGACCTGTGGATGAAAGGATATGAACGATCTGGCTTACATAAACCTCCAATCTTAGCTGAAAAGGTAAGCTCTTCTAATAAGTTCTTATAAAGTTGTGGAGCTCATAATTCCTTTTTCACATTGGTATCCCTACAGTTCAGTTACCAGAGCACTTCTTTGTGTCAGTGTAACTAAGGTACTGCTTTTAAGTTCCACTAAAACACATTTTCCAAAAGAAATAAAGTGTTCTGCAGATTCAAATATGGTTTCAGGCTGAGCCATTCTGTAGATGGCATGTCAAAAAAAGTCTATAAGGTATCAAAACAAATGTTTTCATGGCACAGATTTTTAATTAAAGCTTCAACTTGAAGCACAGTTGTTGGATGGCCAGAAGACATTCACACCATCAGCTTAACTGTCTTAATAAGACACACTGCTTTTTCTTAGAGATAGAAGACATCTATCTCTTTCCACAGAGGGAAACCAATTTCATTCTCCAACTCACAGAAATAGTGCCTGTCTACCAGAGATGTTGGAAACAGTTTTCTCACACCAGGAATTGATACTGAGACCACAAGCCTCATCCAAAACTGAGATGTTTCTAACAGAACCTGGACAGAATCTGAGCAAAGACTGGAAAAAAAGGATCCTCTCTTATCCATAACTATGCTAATCACCACACAGAAAGATTTGTTCTCTATGCTCTGTATGTGTCTACATTTGCATCTGTTGTCTTCTTTTCCCCGCTGTAAATCTTGAATTATTTTCTGAAAATATAGCATGGCTTCATCTGCAGTTTAGACTCAAAATGATGTCAGGGAAGTAGAACATTGAAATAATCTTCCTGATAATAGAATATATTCGGAATCAAACAGTTCCTATTGCTTGAGACTTTGTACAAAAGAATAGATGAAGCACACAGGAAAAGGAAATTGATTAATAGACCTTTTCTATCTTTAATTTCTGTAATTCAGCAATATGAGACACTACCAAATCCATATATCAGGCTTTACTTAAATCACTGTAGTTCTAAGGCTGATTGTCCTCATTTGCATATCCTTGTAAACCTGAAACCAAGATCACATTTTCCATGTTTAATCTTCCTCTAATAATACCATCCTGTCAAGGCAATTTATTCCAATACAGTCTGCTCATAAAATCAGTATTTTCTTTCATAAGCACACAAGTACATGATAAAAGGCATTTCAGTTATTTGAAGTGCCTTTGCTACCATAGAAGACAGAATAACATTTTTAAGTGGTGTGTAGAGTATTTATAAATCACAGTCTTTTGTTGCAGGGTTCTCCAACTTGGCAAACAAGCAAGCTATCCATTGAAATGAAGATCTGAACCTGAAATTTACCTTTGATATTCAAATCATGATGACTTTGTATTAAAAAAAAAAATAAATGTTTTACAATGGTATTATTTCTCCCAATGCATATTCTTTGGTTTTATCCAACAACTTTTTTAGTGTACCTTCATTTAGACTATAAAGACAGTATCCACACTCACAAATGCAATGCAATAATTTGGTTTAAATTAACTGTCAAAATTACCTGTAAAATCTCAAGAGCCAGAAACTCCACCCATTCTGGGTGCCCAAAGTATTTGAGTTCCAAAGGCAGAGTAAATTTTGCCATTACTTTAAAAGGTGTGAAGGAATAGACACATTAACACACTTCAGTGTAATTGCTTAAAAATCCTTCAACACAGCATCTCAAAATAATAACTCGCTGATGTAAATTACAGATATGTCAGTGATCTCAATAATTTACATTCTTGAATTAGTGAATTATTTCACCAGGGATAATTTTCCCTAAAGTGAAAAGCCCTTTGGAATAAACACAGTGGAAGCAGGTGCGAAGCTCAGACATTGTAAAAATGTCATTCCTAAGATGACTACATAAAAAATATAAAATAATAAAAAAAAAATTTCTGTGCATCAGCAGGTCAGCAGGTGATAAATGTCTCAGGAGATTTCAATGAGAAAACAGATGAAGTGGTACTACAAACAAGAAATCAAGAAAAAGTGACAGTGGTGTAATTAAGAGAGATGGGAATCCTTTCAACCCTATGAATAAATATAAGTACAATGATTAAACTCTGCGTACAAAGTGACATAAATCTTGCAAAAGCTACTCAGTAGAAACTGCTAAATGGGCAAACTCTCTCATCATTCCTGTTGGTACTGTTAGTTAAATTGCTGTTTCACCATGAGTCAGTCAATTATGCAGTCCCTTTCACAAAGGGTATTTGTCTCAGTTATCTCTTTGCCTCATTTCCCAAATATCGCAGTTTTGTTCTTCTCACTTACTATTCCTTTTCCATGGATTCTGCGATTCTAGTTTTTGCTCTTAAATAGCCTTCGTCTCCAATGATTTCAGTGTCAAAATTCTGGGAAACTTCAATATGTTGCATTCAAATGTGAAAACACATGCCTTTAATTCACATAATGGAAATAATCTGGGGTTGAGTTACAGCTAGTGAAATCAGGAATTTCTTTTTAAGCATAAGCTTGTTTTTTATTTACATACCTTGGTGGTTTTTTCCTATCATAAATATGTAACTGTGTGACATTTTCCCCTTCAAAAAAGCAGTACTTAGTTTTACATACATAACAGAAATATGTCACAAAGACAGCAATGATATGAGGATCTGTAGTGATCTTTTCTGGCTGTTTCACTGCTTTCTTCTTTGGCATATGAATAACCACTGATGTATACAGTATGAACACTAATGTGGTTATACATTTATTAATCTCTTTTCAACAACAGTAATTAGTCAATTTTTGCATTTTACACTTCTTTATCAAGTTGAAAATTTTATACTAATATAAAAGAATCTCTCTTTTATTTTCCTTTCCATGTGAAACATTGAAGATGACCATTCTCTTCAGTTTTCAGGGACAATGAGTGTCTGTATTTCTGGAGAAATGGACTGTCAAGTTGTGAGATTTCATATACTGCCCAAAACCATGGCATTTACAAAGTATATAATTTTTAGGAAATTTCCCTAAAAAAAACTCCAAAATTTTGACTTTCATTTCACTTACCTGGAGAGAATATGCAATTATTACAAGAAATTTCATATGCTACATTATGGGTGTTCTTTAATTGATTTGTCTGCTCTGCTTCATTCTGTATTCCCTTTTACATGTGGCATATTCTATTCTAATGCATTCCTAGCAGTCCTACACAAATGTTAAGCCCTGTAAGTGTCTAAACAATCTTCCAATTTTTTTTTTTCAGTTGATTTAAAATTAAGCTATATTGGTTCAAAATGTGAAGAAAATATGTTGATTTTGTTGTTGACAAGGATTCATGGCAATCCAGTTCAGTGGGTGAATGGTCTGGATCCCTTATTAAGGTTGGAAACTGAGAAAATGAAATAAAATTATTTATTTTTAAAAAATGGCCTCATATTACACAATACTTCCAAGTCAGAGTTCACTAACTCTTAGAGTAGGAGATTATATTCATAAATCAAGAACAGGATAGATTTAGTAAGTGATTTTTCTGACATAACCCACCTGTCTGCTGAAATGGCAAATTCATTGCAAAAGTAATTTTGGTAATAGTCTTCTGCTTACACAATGTCACAAGATGAAGATATTCCTCATCAAAATGTTTAAGTATTTTTATAACAGATATTAAAAGGAAAAACTATTTTACTTACCAAGCCAACTTCTGTTTAAATATACTGACACAAACACTGGAGGGACTGTGAAGAAATCTACTACTGAGTTAACTTCTAGCCAAAACCATAGCTTGTCATTGGCTGCTATGAACTGGGGAAAAAAAAAAAAAAAAAAAAAAGGGACAGGGATGAAAGAATCAGATTATGCTCATGGTCGTTGTAATTCTGTGCAATATTTTGCATTCTAAAATATTAAACTCCAAAGTTAGTGGAGAAGAAACTCATGCTTTAGGTCAGTTCAGACAAAACAGCGTGTCTCACCGGAAACTAGTCTTTACTGTGCATTGTTTGATAATTACATTGAGATTAAAATGAAAGGTTTAACTGAAGAGGCAGAACATTTATACAATTTCATCTGTGCTGAAAAACATTTTCTCCACGTTTATTAACAATGTATCAGTAACATTAGAAAAGCATAGGTTCCTTTGCTGTAGCACACAAAACATGTTGGTAGTATTCTTACCGATCATGTATTTGCTGTTCACAGGTTTCTAAAAACATGATACTTTACAAAGAATCACATTATCATGCTACCCAGAGGTAATCACCATGATGACTCCGACAATTCATAATTCAGGACTGCAGCAGAAATTCAGTCCTTCAGATTGTGCCATGGATGAGGTCATTTCCCTCTCCAGATTACAAAATCAGTCTAGGGAAACTGGCAAACTTAAGATGCCGAGGACATTCCCATTCATCCATGTGCTTAAATAAGGTTAAAATATTAGTCACATTGAAGTAATAATTAAAACATATGCTTTATATAAATATGAAATAAAAATATACACAGAAATGTAAAATTTGAATTCATCACAAAGACATTTAATGAAGTAGTTTCACTCATGGAAGTCTTAATACCTAGACTAACATTTCAAAGCAGTGCTTGTATTTTTTTTTAATTCCAGACAATATCCACTGTCTTCCAAAGCAAATACTGACATTCTCAAAACTATTTCATCCACTTAATCTCCTTGCTTTAGAATTACTTCAGAAATTTAACAGAAAATGTTTATGGTGCATACCAACTTTGCTGGAGTTACAGATAAAGTACTGGAAAGTGGACTCTACTGATGTAAAGAAACCAAAAATAAGATGGACAAATGTGAGCAGCATGTGCCTTAAAAAAATTTTAAATTAAAACCAGTCATTTTGTTAGTCTGTATTATTCAATATCAAAGCTCCAGCGTGAAAACTGAACAAAAATATCATTTCAGCAGAACTTTACTAGTCCCTTCTGTTGAGTTTAGAAGTAGTCAGAATATTTGGAAATAAGATCTTTTTAAGATGTCAGATCAATATTTCCATAACCTGCAATATAAATTATAATCAGCATTTTATCTTTTCATGGGGCACAATCTTAGGCTTTCAAAAAGGTTTAAGTGCATTACCCAATAATGGTCTGTTGACTGTAAAGGCCACTCCTACTTTTCTATGGAAGTATTTGAACAATTATCCATTTAGGTAATTAGTGACTAATAAAAGCCAATTTCATTCACTACAGAAGCAATCCTACCATACCTTGCCATGTATCTGCCAGACCCTATTGCTTGATTTTGTGCTAAGCCCTTTGCAGTTTGGACTTGGTCTTCATCAGCACTTTCAAGACTTCAGTTCTGAGTTGTCATACAGTTGAATACTAGCCAACAAAGATTTTAAAATGGATATGTGGGTGAAAAATAACTTCTAGAACTAAAGATAAAGTAATAGTTATATGATTTTGAGTTGCAGCATCATCAGGACAACACATGGAGAAGGATGAGATTTTGAAATATTTCTTTAAATGCTTTAATTTGCCAGTAAGTCCTCACAGGATTATTTATTAAAAACAAATTAAGAAACAAAAACCCTAAGGTAAATAAAATACCTAAAGGTATGAGATGCTTTTTACATAACTAGAAAACTTAGTTCATCAGGACTTCCTGGAGAAGTCAAGTTACACCTCTATTTTCTTTTTAATTTAGATAAGGATTATTAATCTGAAATGAATCTTTATCATCCCCTTTCACCATACTTCAGTTTGCATCACAAAGCAGTTTTGGATAACACAATTTTTTTCTGGTTGAAACTGAAACTCAAAAAAGTGTTCTGGCAGTGCATCTTAAATACTGCAACTGCTAAAGGGCATTCACTCCACAGGACAAGAATGGACTTTAGAATACTCTTTATCCCTTCCAAAAAACATACACCATTAATATGAAAGTATTACATCAACTCTCAGCGTATGCTCTCTTATTATGCTCTGCTTCTTGATAACATAGCCAAAGTTACTGCTTTAAGTAAGAGTGGCCAAAGTGCAACTTCAATTCTTTTGGTACGAACATACCCCCTTACCATTAGCACAAAACTTGCAAAGCATTTGGGTAATAGTTTTCAGTTTCCATCACACAGAACATTCTGGAACAGATGGCTTAATTTATAAACTATTGGTCTCCTTAGTGACCTTAGATGTTTAGTATTATTACCTACATGTTCTTGATCAGATAGCTTGATTTTGTCTAGACATTATAAAGTCAGGCAGTATTCAAAGACTACCCCTGCCTACTAGCTATATTCCCTCCCTGTCTTATGCTATCAAAAACACACTACTTACACGCAAGCCAAAGTAGAGTAGGAAGAACACATTGAAAGCCATGTCGATCTGTAATGTGAAATCTTTGTAGAAATTCTGGCAGGATTCTATAGGGCTATTTGAAAGAAAAAGAAATCAAAGTAAATTGTCAGTATAAGTTTCTGCTCTAGGGAGATTTTTATGTATTTCGTTAAAGACCTCAATCGAGAAATCACATTTCTGTCTTCCAGTCATTTACAAGATACAAGCAAGCACTTGAAATTAATGATTTCATTCATTTGGTTAGTCATTCATAGTCCTTATAGTCACCTGTTCAGGTAATATCAGAGAATTAACATGCAAATACCTTTAAGAAAGGACAAGCAAGAGAATACCTCAGGATTCCTTAACCCCACATTAACCCTTAAAGAACTGACTTCTTTCTATAGGAGACATACCTATTCTTCAGGAATAAATCTAACAAGCACACAGCTACAGTGAAAAATTACATGTTTCTCATTCATGTCGTAATATAAAACCCTAAAGAAAAAGTAGTTGCTTAGGAATACATTACCCATTAGCAACCTGGGGTACATAGTCTTGTAGGATCCCTTGTTTATAAGAAGGTTTTTGGTTGGTTGGTTGTTATTTTTTCCTTTTTTTTTTTCCACTTCTTTTTTGTGTATGGCTATTTAATGTACTTTATGTACAGTACTATGAACAGAGTAGAAAAGCAGCATAGCCCACTGGTAAAATTAAATACCAAAATAAATTCAGGAATTTGAAGCAGTACTCTAAGGGTTAATATATGCATGCAGGTTAATTGAAATACCTTTGTGTGTGTCAGGCAGCCATTGCAAATTCTAGCTTATTATATTATGCTTTATTTAACAGTGGGACAGGTCCACAGCATACTCTATACAAACTGGTACATTATAGATACACTTTTATTTAAGGAAGGAGATGACTTCCACGAGTATGATTAGTGATTTATTTGTGAGGTGTCTCAAATAGGTTGGTGAAGCCACAGAACAATGTTGAAGTCACAGACCAAAGTGAAAGTCATGTCCCAATATATGCTGATGTATATACTATATATTCGTAATGACCCACCATATATACATATATACACACACACATATATTGCAAATGATCACGTATTCACCACAACTGTAATAAAGTGGAAAACTAGAATGTAGATCATTTGATCATTTGGAGACCTAGAAAACATCCTTTTAGGAAAGAAGGAATTCTTTGGCTTCCCAGGTCAAATAAATCACTGAATGTGAACATAATACCAGTTAGTATAGCAGTAGCTCTGCAAATATAGTGCTAGACTGCTCAACAAGCAAGATTCTATGCATTATGAATGTCAGTTACCTAATTTAAGGCATAAAGGAAATTACCTGGGCTACCAGGTCATTACACATGCAACCAAATTTTCCATTCCTTGTATACATTACAGGTCAAACAAGTTAAGTACAGCATGCCCTCTCCTGTCTTTAGATGCATTAATGTATACAGCAGAATTCTCTTTGATGTACAACAGCTTTATATCTTAAGAAACTTCAGTGCTACAGGAAATTATACAAATAGATGTTTATTTATAGAACTATTTACAAAGACATTGAAGTTACGAAGTATTTCTGTTATAGTTCAAATAAAATTGATTTACAAAAACCAGCAGAAGGGAGTAGAAGCCAAATATTAACATACAAGACGGAAGACAGCACCTGATACTTTAAAAATACAGCGGATGTAACCTGAGAACCAACCAGGATCATTTTCTGTATGGTGCTATTGAGAGCTAAGGATTTTGACAAAATAAAGCAGGCTACACAGAGTCATTAGACACCCTAACAACAGAAGACACAGAAGTACAGCAGAAGCAGAATGAACAATCCTGCACCAACACTGAGGCTTGGACCCTTAATTCCAGGTCAGGTTTCTGTAAAAGCTGCAGAAATTCACTGGAGTTAATGGAATTGCAGATTTCTAACTAGGATAGACAGCCTAGGACAGACATTCATTACCTTGCTTCCCAAAGTTATTTGGCACTTGTCACGATTGTAAGATAAGGTCACCTAAGGTTGCAGCTAATGGCTGTACTTTTTTACTGTTGTCCTTTCCCAAAACCCACAAGGTCTGACAAATTAGCTACTGCATAATACATCAGCATCTTGTTTGCAAAACACTTAGCACAGTGGACCACAATCCTGATTTGGGACTTTTGTTTACCTAATACCAGAACTACTACTTCTGCTAGTCATAACCATAAAACATCCTTCACATCAGAGATCATTTCTCCCTTTCAATTTCTAAGTTATCCATTTCAAAGACAAACGCCATGTCCTTTCCTTCCCATTTCAAATTATGTTTTTGTCAGAAAGTCATGTCACTAAGGCTAAAGAAAGTATTTATGCTCACATGATGGATTACACAAGATTTTAAATTTTCCAAATTAAATCTTGGTGATATTCTTAAATTTGGATTTTTTGTTTTCATCAGCGGTTCACATCTGAGCTGAGAGAAAAGCATGGCCACTACTGTTTATCATTTCACCATTCAGTCTGCTGCAGAAAGGAAGCTAATTTGAAACTTCTCTTTACATCAAGTGTCCCCCAAAGAGAAGCGCTATAATTCTTAGAGTTCCAGACAGTAGTGTACTGCAGTCTCAAGGACTAATCATATATCCCCTGAATTGAACTAAAATCAGATGGCTTGTGCTATGGGATTTCATCCCTTTAGGTCAGCAAAGGTTTCACCTTTGAAGGAAGCAACATACTGATAGAGATGCTTTTATTACTCTTCCATGTAAGTGCCTTCGTTTTAAGTGTGGTTTCATGCACTTATACTGCTAAAAAATCAGGAGAAAATAAACTAAAAAGCAAGGGATTAACATTATAATAACAAAAATACAAAAGATTTAGAGTAACTTGATAATAATTATAGTAACAATGTAACTCTAAATGCAATATTTGTCTGTACTTTGAAAGAGCATCCTTAATTTGTTACATGAAAACTGAAAAAAAATCCACTGTAGCCATTATACTACTATTGTTTTGAAAAGAAAAACTTATAGCACAAAATTTATTTTTCCTAACATAAGGATATACTGCTGGTAATCTATCAAGGACTATAATTCCCCTTTGCCCTGTCATTTTTTTACACAATAAACTAAATGCTACAAGCAACATGTGGGCTACACAAACAAGGTTTGAGAGACTGACAGTTTTCGTCAGGTCAACATTTATATCAAGTCATCATTTGCTGGCAACTGAGTGTTCTGTGCAACAACTTAACATACAAATTGCATCTAGAGAAATAACAGTGGACTTCGTTTGCCTAATCTGCAGTAAAGAAAAAGCCTTATTTGATTTTTCAGGCATGGACTACACTGTTCATTCTCTTCCTTCCTCTCCTGCTCTTTAAACTCTGCTATTCATTTCAGTTTTACATTACCTCTATAGACTTGCTGTGTTTATTATTACAGCATTTTTATAGCAATAGTAGCAGTTACAAAGCCCGGCTGTACAGGTATCATAGCCAGAAACTATTTCAGTGAGCAAGAATGACTATAAGTAAGAAAATTACTCCAGTTTAACTTTAGAAAGATGGGTCAATATCTTGACAAGGAGTTCCCAGAATCCTTAAACCTTTTTTTTTTTTTTTGCATTCAACACTGAAGCCAACACTTTACATGACAATTTTATTACAGATGAACAAAGGCCTTGTACTTAAATTCAAAAGAATTTACTGCTGTTTAAAGAACTGTTTTTGTCACAAGTGCATTTCATGTATTTATTAATTATTCTCACTTATTTCTACTTCTTTGATAAACTTCCAATGCATTTGAAATGGTTCTACTCAGATTACTCTTTGAACAGTCATAAAATGAGTGGGAATGGGAAAATAAAAATAGTATGCATTTTAATGTTTTCTGAAATTATTTGATTTTATGAGTATATTAATATGAAACTTCCCACAGAAGAAGCCTTCACAGAGCATTTCCAGGATTCTGCAATTGCAACAGAGTTGAAAATATCTTGAGTGTTTTTTCCTGTACTCTTGATAGGAGCTGTAAAGGCTTTTTCCACTTCAGATCAAAACCTCGGCATGACATATCGATCTATATCATGTGCCATTATGACCACAAAGAAGTAAAGAGAAGAAGTTCCACATTCATTCAGGCTTTAGGCCAGCACTGCAATCACAGTGACATCTGTCTGGACCATTTTACATAAAATGTTACCCACAATAATGGGAAAGGCTGTGCACAACCAATTTGTACTTGAAATAACCATATAACATGCAACTTAAAGTTCTCTGTTCTCTCTGTGTAATGAAGCAGTCTCTTGTATTTTTGGCATGGGTTATGTCAGTCTACTCCTAACGCTCTTTGCCTTTTTTTCTTTTTAATGACAAGGCCTGCAAAGCCTAAGATGGTTGCCGTTTTCATCTTCTTTTGCTGATTGTGTGTCCCAGTAGAAAGGACACATCAATAGGAAGCACACAGGCCAGACCTTTCTATCCCATTCCAGAGTATATAAGGAGGACATGAGGTGGCTAACAACCACACGAATAAACAGGTTGATGCATTCACTCACAGTATATGATGAAGCAAAGAAAGGAGTGAGCTGAGGCAGAAGCCAGGTAATGGGAGAAGGAATAAGTCAAGTCATTAATCCAATTCCAATCATATAGTAATTGCCAAGAAGCAACATCATTACATATATAACCCTCTTTCTGTCTTGATTGTGATGTCCCACCTTCACTGGGAGTCCTCCTCATAGTGGACAGCCAGGAAGCCCTTCCACTAGCTAGAAACCCTACATAGTACATCCACCACATAAGTAAACTCCCCCCATTCACTACAAGCAGAGCCAGCCTTTATACTGTTAACTTTAGAGGTGGAATATCTGATGTTAATTCCAAAAGCAGGACACCTGGCAGTGATCTCCTAACTGACTTTCACCCAAGATTGGCTAGTCTTTCCTGCCTGATTGTGCGCATCATCCGTATGTCAACTCTGATTCAGGGCTTGGGGCTTAGACCCCAGCACTTCACATCTATATATAATTATATATCAAAAGCTTGACTTTAAGACGTATTAATCTAGTTACATTTTGGCAAGTG